CCCCCCCAAAAAAAGCCATCTAATGTGGCTTCAAAATTTCCAGAAATGTTGCATTTCTAGCCAGCCCCCGCCCCTGCAGAGCCGTATTGACAGTGCCGGCCCTAGATCCGTCCCTGGTTAAGGACAGGAAAGGCTCCATCTTCCCAAGCTAAAACAGCTGCCGGCCAGTGTCAACCATCCTGGGCTGGATGGACCCCAGTGCTCTGGGTCTGCGCCCCCCACCAGTCTCCTGCATGCCCGCAAAGGAGACGTTTCCCAAATGGATTTCTGGACGAAGGTGGGTAAAGCCAGCAAGCACATCTTGCTATTGACTCTTGATTGATTCCGGGCCATATTCGCCTTTCTGCAGATGTTCAAGAGTCAGAAAACCCAGCTCCGAAGGCAAAGGAGAAGAACAAGACAGAGGAAACCCTAAAAGAGGGCCAGGAGGTACGTTCTTCCACATCCTAAAACCCGTGCAGGGACAACGTGTTCTTTCTGTAGGTTAGTTTTGCTCTTCGACTAGGAAATTCCCACACACTGGTGCAAAATGGTGTCCCAAGACTGGAAGTGTCCAGCATTTTTGGACGACGTTCCCCAGAATTCCCCCGTCCGTACGGCCAGGCTGCCATCATTCTGGAAAGAGTTGTGCAGAAAAGTAACTTTCCCAATCCTGAAAGGGCTGGGTGCATAGCACGGACTCTGGTGTGTCTGAAGGATCTCAGATGTCCTTGGGAGCCTTTGGCTAACCCAGCAACGTTTTCAGTCATTCAGAGTGAGGGGAGGATTTCCCATAAGTGTGAGCAGAGAGAGAGAGAGAGAGAGAGAAGCAGCAAGGGCCAGCCTTGGAAGCCTGTGCAAATTTTGCTTCCGTGTTCTTGGCCATGTCTCTGCCCAGCGGCAGGCTTTCTTTTAAAACTAGCTGATCTGTATCCAATAGAAAGGTCCTGCGGTGGCCCGCTGGGCTCCATGTGGGCTGTGCGGGCATGGCAGATTGCTGAGCAGCCACCACCATGGCAGGAGGGACGAGGGCTGTGCTCTGGCACCAGGTAACGGTGGGTGGGCAGACATGTGGGAGTGGGGAAGACGGGAAGGGGGGGTCCTTCCACCTCCCCCTTCCCATCCAAAATTATAACATAAAATATACAAAAGCCGGACATTTTAAAGGTTTTTATCTCTGCCTGCCTGAGGGAGGACGTTAGGCTAAAAAGGAGGACATGTCCTCCTTTTGCCTGACATCTGGCAACCCTATCCTTGGGAGGCTTTGGCTAACCCAGCAACATTTTCAGTCATTCAGAGTGAGGGGAGGATTTCCCATAAGTGTGTGAGCAGAGAGAGAGAGAGAGAAGCAGCAAGGACCAGCCTTGGAAGCCAGTGCAGATTTTGCTTCCGTGTTCTCAGCCACGTCTCTGCCCATCTTAAGCACGGAAAAGGCTCAAAGGGGGAGATACAGCTCCGTACTTTCAGGTCGCCTGGACCCAAGCTGTATAAGGCTTTTTGGATAATGACCAGCACTTTGAATCGGGCCCGGAAACGGACTGGTAGCCAGTCAGTGCAGTTGTTGTAACAGGAGCCCTAGATGCTCCTTATAAATATTGGACGTGATGCAATCGGATTATTCCATGCTTCTTCTAGCGGCGCAGCCCAAGGGTGTTCTTGGTAGTCTCGCCCCCCCCCTGGCCTTCTCTCTGCAGTGCCCAAGTCCCTTCCACCCATGCTGCTGACCTTCCTGGTCAAGGTGACCGTTTGAAGCCACCTCACAAGCGCATCGCCCTCTCCCGTGTCCCCATCAGCTGCGCCTGCGCTGGCCATGGGACCGAGAGGAGGAACTCCTCGGACGATCTTAAGCACGGAAAAGGCTCAAAGGGGGAGATACAGGTCACCTGGACCCAAGTTGTATAAGGCTTTTTGGATAATGACCAGCACTTTGAATCGGGCTCGGAAACGGACTGGTAGCCAGTGCAGTTGCTGTAATAGGAGCCCTAGATGCTCCTTATAAATGTTGGACGCGATGCGATCGGATTATTCCATGCTTCTTCTAGTGGCGCAGTCCAAGTGTGTTCTTGGTAGTCTCGGCCCCCCTTGGCCTTCTCTCTGCAGTGCCCAAGTCCCTTCCACCCATGCTGCCGACCTTCCTGGGTAGACCAAAGTCTGGTCAAGGTGACCGTTTGAAGCCACCTCACGAGAGCATCGCCTCCCCTAAACAGGCCGGTCGTGTCTCAGGTGAGACGCTGAGCAGGATTGGGCCAGGCAAAGGTCTCCGATGGGAAGCCACCAGGGAGATCCAGAGTTGGCCATCGGGAGTGGATGGAGCTGCATTCCATTGAAAGAGCTTCCTGTTTTCCTAAACCCAGCTCATGGTGGAAGCAGCAACGATGAAGGTTCTTTGCCCGGGGAAGAGGGTCCATGTCATACGTGGCCCTCACAGAAGGAACGGTGTCTCCTCCGCCCATCCCAAACCCCCTACACATCAGTTTGAGGTGGTTGCTTAAATGGGGTGAAGGTCTCTTTCCCTTGCAACGTCCCTATCGCTGATCCAGGCAGATAGCCTTTCTCGCTGCTGCTTTACCTTTGCCGCCACTGCTAAGGGCTGACTGCAGACGGCCTTTCTAAAAGGAAGGACACCTTTGGTGCAACACAACTTTGCACACTTTGGCAGCAGGGCGTGAACCCTGTGTCGTAGCCCTGACCAGCAGCGTACATGAGTATCATGTCTTCTGACTGCCATCTATAAAACAAAGTTTTATTTTAAAGGAATAAAAAGTTTCCATGAAAGGGGTAAAAATAAAAATAGAAGAATCATGATGATTTCAAGCCGTAAGTTTCTTCATTCTACAACCGTGAGCCTTAATGTCTTTGTAATTTTAAACACCTTCTGTTCTTATTATATAGATATGTACAGTAATGGCTTTGTCACAAGTACTAACAAGAGTATGTTATTATTCCCCCCTGATTCTCCACTTTCAGACTCCTAAATGACAGCATTAACTCTCTCTTGTATGTAAGACTATATGTGAAGGACAGAGTGAGAACTTATCCAGACAGGGACCGTGCAGATCAATCAGTTTGCAGTTGCATTCATAAACATCCTTTATACCTCTCAGTTGGCATAACTGTCCTGGCACAGCAGTGGTCGGTCAACCCCAGTCCCTCGTCCCACAAGCAAATACAAATCTGTATATATGGAGAGGACAAAACCACCACATCTCTGACCTCCAACATAGTGCAGGAAGTGACTTAAAAGCAGCCGGTCTTGTTACGTCCTGGAGATTCTGCAGCCATCTGTCTTTGCTTGGCTTGGATTTGGGGCAGGACGAGGTACGGCCATGGAATGACATGTACCCAGAAGGCAGCTTTTAGGATCACTCGCCTTTCCCTGGTTCCTTCCTTTTTCTAGCAAAACAACAACACTGAATTGCAGTAGCAATTAAATAGGTCAGAGAGCCAGCCCACTATCAGCCATTTAATATCCCTAAATATAATTTTCTTTAAAATCAAAAACCCAATTTTTGGGGGAGGGGGCATTTTGTTGAAAGGGGGAATTTGTCCCAGGGTGAAAAGCAGTGGGTCACCTCCTTCCCATGTAATGGTGGTCGGCGTAACGTCTTCCCCTGTCCTATTTGGGATAGCAGACGAGTCCGTGTAGTGGTCAACTGGAAAGTGCTGGTGCCTCCTCAGGAGGAAGAAAGGAGCCTGAGGGGGTTGAAAAAGCGATCTTGGCAGTCCCTTCCACCCAGAAAGTGATGGGCATGACCATGGCGGGAGAAGAGGGACCCTCAGCCTCTCCTGCTCTTTTGGTTCCCAGGTCCGGATCCGTGGAAGCGCTGGATGGGAGAACAGCTTGCGACAGAAGCCCCCTCCCCGCATCGTCTTCCAGGCCGGGCCAGCCTCGCTGGAGAAGAAATCGAAAGACGACGTGGAGAGCGTGGAGAGCTTCAAAGAGCGGCACAAGATCAGGGTAGGGCGTCTTGAGGTCTCCGTTCAGATCTCAGCTTTGTTTCCATTTTGGACTAGGGCGCCTGTAATCTCCCTACCCAGCCCCCCTGCCATGCTTGGGATGGGTGTTATGAGCGTTACAGCCTTCAGAACGAATGTCTTGAAGCTCTGTATTTGTTAGAGAGACAAACCCCCACGTGGGACTTTCCCAGGAGGTACCGTAGATTGAGCTTATGTTATCCTAGACTTGTGAAGTGGGAAGGGGGCCTCTTAAGGCCATCAAGTCCAACCCCCTGCTCAAGGCAGGAATCCAAGTCAGAGCAGATCGGACAGGGGGCGGTCTAAATTTCCCTTGAAGGCCTCCAGTGTCAGAGCAGTCGGCACTTCTCCTTGAGGTCTATGGGCTCCATTGTCGTACTATTCTAACAGTTAGGAAGTTTTCTTTGTAATTCAGGCAAAATCTGGCATCTTGTAACTTGAACCCATGATTGTGTCCTGTCCTCCGGGATGATGGAGAACAGATCTTGCCCCTCCAGCTTTGTTTTTCCAGAAGCAAATCGTGAGGAGGAGACAGGAAAGCAAGACCTGTGTGTGTTGGGTAGAGCTGTTCAACTCTAGTTTCAGGAACATAACATGCAAAGATGATGCGCTTTGGTCTCTTCCATTGCATTTAGACTTTCTCCCAACTTTCGTCCTGCTCGGAGTTCACTTCCCCTTCTGTCTCCTTTCCCCAGTATTCCAGGAGGATTTCTGCCAACGGTCCGATCGATTTCTCAGAGGACAAATTATCAGAGTCCAGCCAGAGCAGCGGCGCCGGAGTCTCAAACGGGTTGCGCTACGGAGGGTCCCTGAGAAGAGTTGAAGAGTACCAGGTAGGGAGGAGGAGGAGGTTTCCTAAGCATGCGCGAGCAGGGAGTGGGATGATGATGATGCTCACGGGTAGGAATGGGTTGCGGGCAAGGTTATACTTTGATTTCCAGAGGATCCTAACCAGTAGGGCCATTGGGTATGCTTGCTGGGGGATTCTGGGAATTGTAGTCCACCCCCCCTCTCCTGGCAAATGTTTCCCATGTGACGGGAGCTGAGTCCCAGGTTGTCAGGCCCCGAATTCCAAAGCCGTCACAAGGAACAAGTTTAGCTCTTGAATGTACGGCTCTGTTGCTCTATCCCAGTGTGAGTTGAGTTGGGACCTTCCTCAAGGACTGGAAGAAATGTAGATTTTTGGGGGAGTCTGACTCCAGTGCCAAGGAACACGGGGTTCGGAAAGGGATCTCTTGAGCATCGGCTGAAGAGATCCCATGAGCTCCAAGAGGTTCCAGCCAGCCTTTATTGAGGCAGCCAGATGGTGCTCCCCCTTTCCATCCATGCAGGAGCTCAATTCCTGGCACTACCTCCCCCCCTCGACTCTCTCTGTCTGCAGCTGGGGGGCTTTGGTCCCTGGATGGGCAGCTGGGGCTGAGCTTTAGACATGAGCCCCAGCAACCCGAGACCTCTTGACCGGGAGGACCAGTAGCCCCAGGCTCATGATGACCCTCTGGCCGGAGCTAGTCTTCTCCTTCCCAGGCCAGCCGGACAAGCCACTGGGGCTGGCCATCTCCCACGGCCTCTTCTGGGCTGGGGGTGCTTTCCTGGACACATTGCCTGTTTCTCCTGGGAAGGGAGATGTGCTTTCTCCTGCCACACTTCCCTGGGAGCAAGGCTGAGTCCCGTCGCCTGCCCAGAGGTCTTGGAGGAGCAGGGGCCGGTTCTCCCAGGCCTCTCGTCACCTTCCCGATCCCAACATGGAAAAGCCACCCTCCTCCTCCATCCTTGGCTCCTGACACCCAGGTCCACCTGTGGCCTCGCTCTGCAGCTGGGGCTCTTCCTGCTCCCGTCCAGGCATCCTGTCCCACCACCTGCATCCCCCCCCCCCGAGCTGCCCTACTGATGGGATCTCAGAACAGTCCTCTCCGGGGGACACGGAGACGAGGTGGGTGGTCCGCGAGGAAGGATAGAGGCATCTCCTGGGCAAGGCATTTCTTCCAGAATGTCCTGCCCACCCTAAACCAACCCCCCCCACACACTTGTTACTTGGTGGTTCTAGGAATTATGTTCCCAAAAAAGGAACTTTTCCAAGCTCTAGAGAAAGGATAAAAGGGAAGGTGAAAATAAGTTTAGAAAAGAGTTGTGTCTGGCAGGAGAATTTGGTCCTTAGAGTCTTTGTAAAAGGGAAGGTGAAAATAAGTTTAGAAAGAGTTGTGTCTGGCAGGAAAATGTAGTCCTTAGGGTCTTTGTAAAAAAAAAAAGGTTCTTCTTGAAGCACCTCTAATCCCAGTCTTAGGCTGTATGTCCCCCCCCCCCCAAACCGTGCACCAGACAACTCCGGAAGCTAAATTAACAGCAACACGTAAGCAGTAAACGAGCCCATGAAAAGTGTAGTATCCGATCCAAAAGGCGGTCCTAATATTCAGCTTCTCACACCGGCCAGCCAGATATGATCTCTGGGAAATCCCACAAGTAAGCTATGAAAAAAGCTTTATGATCCATAAAAGGGTATTTTCCAAGTTTGGGCACAAAGGGAAAAAAAATCTTTCCTGTCTCTGAAAAATTCACTATAGCGGTCACAACTAGGAAGAACATCCTAGGGATTTTGGCAAACCGAAGCTTTAAAAAAGGGACTTTTGTGGATTTAAGGATTCCAGAATTCCCAGGCACCAAGATCTGTGGGTGCTGCTGGCGTTGTCGACCCAGGAGATGCTTGAGGCATCACTCGAAGGACCACCAGGGGTACAATTCCCTCCCCCAATCTTTAATAGACCTGTGAGTCATCACGCTGACACTCAGATGCTTCACTTAAGTGGATGGGTCTGTTATTTCTTTTGTTTGCTCACTTTTGCCTCATTTGGCTTACAGGATGGGAAGGATTTTAAAATCGGGGAGCTTGTCTGGGGCAAGATCCGAGGCTTTGCTTGGTGGCCGGCCATCGTGGTGTCGTGGAAGTCGACCTCCAACCGACAAGCGGGTCCCGGGATGCGTTGGGTGAAGTGGTTTGGAGACGGGAAGTTTTCAGAGGTGAGGAAGCAAAGATGCAGGGTCGTGGATGACCTCAAAAGACCCCAGCGGCTTGATCAAAGCTAAGGGTGTTGGTGTATTCACATCCCGAGATCACCAGTTAAAGGAACAAGAAAACAAACAACAGACAATGGAAGTTTTCAGAGAAGTACAGATTGATATGGTTACTTCTCCGAAAACTTCCTTTGTCTGTATTTGTATTTGCTTGTGTGACAAGGGACTTGTGGATATCCACAAAACTGTGTGTTGAGAATCTTGAGATTTCTGTGTTTTTTTTTTTTAACTTTTATTTTTCATTTTAATTTTTTTTTTGGCCGAGACAAAAGGAAAAGACCGAGATAGGTGCTGACTTTTGATCGGCCCACCACCCTTTGTAATGAATAAAGAATCTGAAAGAGGTGTTCCTCTTAGACTCTCTTGCCACAGTTAATCCTAAAAGTCAAGCGGTCGAGCCATCAGAAAAAAGACATGGGATTTTTTCTTTTTTAGCTGACCCATTCTCATCCTTATCTCTTGGGGAAACAATCCAAAAGCTGTGAGTCCTTAATTGTGGCAGTGAGGACAATTTAAAAAAAAAGGCTGCCAGTGCTTGACCAGCACTTTCAAATATTTCAGTTCTGAGTAGTTTTTTAAAAACAGAAGGGTTGCTGCTGGCCAGCTGGTCAGGGCAGTGGCTTCTACCCAACATGAGATGGTTCTGTTGGCTGTATAGGCTGGGAGTTGTATCCCGGCACCCCCTTGACAAAGGCTGGGCTAGTCTGAGGCATGGGATGATCATGGCCTTCAGGTCAGTTCTTGAGGCTTCAGAAAAGCAGGGCAGAGCTGTTTTGGTAGAGGAAGAGAGGCCCAGACGAGGCAGCAGACATTTGAGGGGGCGTGCTGTGTCCTGGCAGCTCTGGAGGGGGTGGAGTAACAGGTGAGTCTCTTGCAGAAGCTAAGAAAGCCCCACAGCACTTGGTGTCTTCAGAGCTAGAATGGCCAGGAGGCTGAAGGATGCAGAGCGCCAAGGGGGAAAGCAACACAGGGGAGGGAGAGGGTAGGAGAGGACTCCCGGGGACCTCAGAGATGCAGGGGAGGGAAGAGGCAAAAGAGACGGGAGAAGGCAGAGGGGTGTTAGGGGGAAAGAGTTGAACCACAGTTGAACCCTGGTGGGCTTCCTGAGAACTCCTACAGAACCGTTTCCCCTGCCGGTCAGGAAGCAGCTGAAGGTGGACGTTTCTGTGTTTTCCAAAACTGGAGATCATCCGCAGGTGGCTTAAGCTGAGACAGAGAGGTACGGGCCAAGCGCTGCTGCCTCTTGAGTTCATGGCCGAGGAGGGGCCCTGCCCAAACATCATGTAGCCTCCTTCCCAGGGTGGTTTTGCACAGGTCACTGAAAGGATTTTTACAAGGCACAGTGGACAGTTTAATAAAGTGTCCTTTTTCAATGTTAAATGTTGTTGTCACTGGTGGCGTAAGGAGGACCAGAGAGAACTCGGTCCTGTGCTTTGGCATGGAACGTCATGAATTCATTTCATCTAAAAGTCGTGTGAATGTTTTTTTTTTCTGGGGGCCGGGGAGACTTCTCCTAAGTCGATTTGGTTTTGTTCAGATGCCTTTGCTTGCTGTTCAGCTGTTCCCCTCCTTTGGTTCTTCCCGTGGCAGGTCTCGGCAGACAAACTGGTGGGACTGGTGGCCTTCCAGGAGCATTTCAACCCAACCACTTTAAACAAGATGGTGTCCTACCGACAAGCCATTCTCCATGTTTTGGAGGTAACTGGGAAGGACAAGCGGGAGCAGGCTAGCAGAGAAACCTACGCCTTGGTGAACATGGCCATGTTTCTCATCCAAGACAGCTGGAACAGCGGCGCCAATAAAATATTCTTTATCAGGAATATTGCAATCTCCTAACACAGTGGTCCCCAACCTTGAGCCTCCAGATGTTCTTGGACTACAACTCCCAGAAACCTTCAGCACCCCCTCTGCTGGCCAGGATTTCTGGGAGTTGAGGTCCAAGAACATCTGGAGGCCCAAGGTTGGGGACCACTGTCCTAACAGATGCCATCTTCCATCCATCAAGTGGTGGTGGTGATGTAGAAGCATTCTGAAATTCAACCTCTTTAAGTTTGGCAGGGTGAAGAGCAGACCTTTCCTTAAGCACTTTCCGTATCCCATCAGCACGAAACAGAGACTCATAACAATCTAGCATTGTTGACAAAATATACCGTATTTTTCCACGCATAAGACTATACTTTTGTCTAAAATCTGTAGACTAAAATTGAGGGTCGTCTTATACACGGAAGTAAACTGAGGAGAGAACAGAAACAAGTGGAGCGGAAAGCAGGGATCAAAGCGATCCTGCAGCGCTTTGATCCCTTTCCCCCTACACTTGCTAAACCCAGCTTAGATTTCTAAATTTGGGATTAGAAAAGTGGGGGGCGTCTTATATGTGGGGGCATCTTATACACGGAAATATACGGTACTTTCCTGAACTACATCAACCCTTGTTGGGAAGTTTTAGCCCAAGAAAGAAATTTCCCCAAGGATGTTCCTTAATATAAAACTTCCTCTTCTTTCTGTCAGGTCGCCAGCAACCGAGCCGGCAAGGTTTTCTCAAGTACCCCAGGTGATTCTCTGGAAGAGAAGCTGAAGCCCCTGGTGGATTGGGCCCTCGGCGGCTTTAGGCCCATGGGAGGCAAAGGATTGAAGCCGCCCAAGACCTCAGGTATAGAAGTGGCTTTGGTGGGGTATAAGAAGCTGAGGAAACGGTTGTACGTAGTTGTGTCATCACAAGAGTGGCCAAGAACGAGCTTCTCGTTGTCCGTTCATTAAGCCCCACTTTGAACATGTATTGCCTTACTTACCTAGTTCTTCCTGCTTTGAACTTTCTCTTCTGGTTCTTGAGAGCAGCCGCCACCCTCATCAGCTGGCTCTCTTTAAATTACCCTTTTTGCCTATACACAAACGCCACGAAAATGGAATATTGGAAAACCTTTGTCCCACTATGTCTTAAAGAAATGGAATCCATGATGAAACTGGCGAGATTCCGTGGCATACCAGTCCAAGGCAGATCGTGGATCTGCTGCGGAAAGTCGAACCCACTGTATTCTTCCCCGTCAGTGATCTACTGGCACCAGAGATTGCCGTTTAGTGTCCTTGTTGAAGAGAACTAAGTGGAATTAAAATTGGGCTTCGTGCTTTGAGCGGCAAACCAACCCGTGTCAAAGAATGTGGGTTATTTACAGCAAAGGCTGCCAGAGGGAAGGAAACATTTCTGGACCCTTCTCTATAGATCAGTTTGTAGCATCTTCCTTTTGGTAAGACTAGTTCATTTGCAAGTGAAGTTTCGTTCCTTTTCGAGGTATTCAACATCTATGTGTACTTGATGTATATTATTTTGTATGTGCCAATTTTAAGGGCTGTACTTCCATTTTTATACTAGTTCAGTCAATTGCAATTATTATTTTTTGCTAAGGTCTAGGGACCCATGCATGCACACACCCAAACTGTTCCCTACGTGGAATTCCAGTTGATGGACATGCTTCTCCTCCTCTGACCTGGTTCCATCCTCACAACAAGTAGTGCCCAGTTTCCCCTATTCCTGGGGATACCCATTCCTGGAGGTGTTTCGGGCAGGTCACGGTGACACAGGGCTGAGGCTACATCCTGCTCACATCTCCGCAAGGTGCTCTAAGAGAGGCTGTTTTTTTCCACACTGCTCAGAAACTTTGGTTGGGTCCCAAACACCGGAGCTGGGTTGTTTGACCTGGTCTAGTTTGCAGGAAACACAGTACTCCGTGTTGTAAGAATTTGGCCTGCTGCCGCTCTGTTCGCTGGCACAATTCAGAATGCTTTCTTTGGTTTTCGCTCTGGCTATCTGGTCACTTCTGTTGTTAAACAAAGTAAGAAAGCTGCCACAGTGCTTCATGGGAATTACAGTTCTTCAGGAGGGGTTTATAGAGCTCTAGAGAGCTTATTGGGTAGCAAGACTTATTAATTAATTATGGTTCGTAGGTTGCCTTTTCTTCCAGTGAGAGAGCCCAAGCAAACCATTTGTCCCTGAATGCCCTTTTAAAGTTAATTTTCAATGCTTATTTGCTTTCAGTTATTCAATTATATTTTAATTAGTGTTTAATTTATTCATTTTTTAAAAAAAATGTTTAACTTATTAATTGTTAAATTCTGTTGCTCTGTTCGCTGGCACAATTCAGAATGCTTTCTTTGGTTTTCGCTCTGGCTATCTGGTCACTTCTGTTGTTAAGCAAAGTAAGAAAGCTGCCACAGTGCTTCATGGGAATTACAGTTCTTCAGGAGGGGTTTATAGAGCTCTAGAGAGCTTATTGGGTAGCAAGACTTATTAATTAATTATGGTTCGTAGGTTGCCTTTTCTTCCAGTGAGAGAGCCCAAGCAAACCATTTGTCCCTGAATGCCCTTTTAAAGTTAATTTTCAATGCTTATTTGCTTTCAGTTAATCAATTATATTTTAATTAGTGTTTAATTTATTCATTTTTTAAAAAAAATGTTTAACTTATTAATTGTTAAATTCTGTTGTTTTTAATATTGTGAGCCACCCTGGGTCCCTATATCGGGAGAAAGGTAAAGGTAAAGGTAAAGGTTCCCCTTGACAATGTTTGTCCAGTCGTGTTTGACTCTAGGGGGCGGTGCTCATCCCCGTTTCCAAGCCATAGAGCCAGCGTTTTGTCCGAAGACAATCTTTCCGTGGTCACATGGCCAGTGCGACTTAGACACGGAACGCTGTTACCTTCCCACCGAAGTGTTTTAATTAGTGTTTAATTTATTCATTTTTAAAAAAAAATGTTTAACTTATTAATTTTTAAATTCTGTTGTTTTTAATATTGTCAGCCGCCCTGGGTCCCCATATCGGGAGAAAAGTGGCCTATAAATAAAGCAAGCAAATAATGAATAAAACAAATAAATACTAAAAATACAAACTAAATTACAGATTAAAAAGCAGTTAAACTACAATAATGATTTAAAAATCTATCCACTCCGTCATTAAAAGTATGACTGCCAGCACCCTTTGCACCCTGGTGGAACCTGTCTCTGGAGTTGGCCTTTTAAGCCGGCAGTGCCTCTATTCTTTGCTCTTCTTCTCTCCCAGAGGACACAGATCTCCCGGAGATAAGTGCGGAAGACCCAGCGGCCACCTCCGAACCAGCCCCTCCGACCAAGCGGCTCAAGACAAGCATCTGCAATGGCAACAACAAGGAGCAGGCAGAGGAGAACCAAAGCAAAGGTAATAATCATTAGAGAGGGGCTATTCGTATTAGTATCCCTGAGGATATGAATCATGGTACCAGAGGTCCATTCCCTCCCCCTAGAACTGACCAGTCCACTCAGTTTGTCATCTGCTGCTCAGTTCCATCGTTGCCCTCGTTGTGCCAATCGTGGAAGGTCTTCGGCCAACTGTTCCCTGCCTCCCCATGCAGCTGACCACTCTAGTGCAGAGATGGGCCAGGGAGTCTCCCTGCTTAGCTGATGAGTGGTCAGCTGCATGGGGAGGTGGGGAAGAGCTGGCAAGGATCCTTCCATGACGACAATGGAGCTGAGCGCTGAACAATCAGTGGACCGTCCAGTTCTGGGGGCAGGGCAGGGACATCCGTGTCATCTTTGGTGCTGCTATTCATATTTGTATCCTCAGGGATATGAATACAAGTAGCCCATCACCATTGATCTGAGAGATCAGCCTACCACTCCATGCAGGGGCATGTTGGAGTTTTAGAGTTGGTTTTCCAGTGAAATCGTTTGCCCCTGGGATAATTCAGAGCTGGGCAATGTTCCCCCTCCAGAAATCCTAAGCCATCTTTGGAGACTATTTATTTATTTATTTACTCAACTTATACCCCGCCCATCTAGACCAAAGTCTACTCTGGGCGGCTAACAACAATACATAAAAGTAAAAGCAATTTAAAATAAAAACAACAGTATTAATATAATTCAAGGCAGCAAAAAAATAGATTAGATGTTGACAGGAGGGAAGGCCTGCCTAAAGAGCCAGGTCTTAAGTTGGCTCTTAAAAACAACTCCCTCCGGTGAGGGAGCCAGGCAGATATCTACGTATGGGTAGACTGTTCCAGAGGCGAGGGGCCACTGCCAAAAAGGCCCTTGGCGTTAGGCCCCTCAGCCACCCTTCTTGGCTAGAACAAGTGATTTGGGTAGATCTAGGTGGGAGAAGGCTTTCCGCTAGATATCGAGATCCTAAACCATTTAGGGCTTTATAGGTCATTGTTAACACCTTGAAATCAATGCGGAAATGAATGGGCAGCCAATGCAAGGCAGCCAGAGTGGGGGATATATGTTGATATTTTCTCACCCCGGTGAGAAGCCTGGCCGCCGCATTCTGCACCATTTGAAGCTTCCGCATCCATCTCAAAGGTAGCCCCACGTAGAGCGCATTACAGTAATCTCTAATCCTGAGACTACAAGCCCATGGACCGGAGTGGTGAGCGCCACCACATCAAGATAGGGATGCAGCTGGGCAATCCACCGAAGGTGGAAATGTGCAGAATGGACCAATTACAACACCTGGGTCTCCGTGGCGAACGCTGGGTCCAGATGTACACCCTACCTGTGAACCTCACTCTTCGCAGTGAGAGTCACACCCCCCCAAAAAAGAGAGGGAGTTTCCCAAACCACCAATGAAGGGGCCGCCCACCACTGAGACTGGGAGTTTCCCAAACCACCAATGGAGGGGCCGCCCACCACCGAGACCTCCGTCTTGTCTGGGTTCAGCGTTAGTCCATTCTCCTGCATCCATTGCAGTACAGCTTCCAAGCAGCGCTTAAGGGACAGAATGGTATCCACTGTGGTTGGAGAAAAGATGTAGAGCTGTGTGTCATCAGTGTACTGATGACACAAAGCCCCACACCCCCTGACAAACCACCAATGGAGGGGCCGCCCACCACCGAGACCTCCGTCTTGTCTGGGTTCAGCGTTAGTCCATTCTCCTGCATCCATTGCAGTACAGCTTCCAAGCAGCGCTTAAGGGACAGAATGGTATCCACTGTGGTTGGAGAAAAGATGTAGAGCTGTGTGTCATCAGTGTACTGATGACACAAAGCCCCACACCCCCTGATGACCCCACCCAGCGGCCTCATATAGATGTTAAACAGCATTGGGGAGATGATCGAGCCCTGCAGAGCCCTGCAATTGAGGATCCATGGGGCCGATACACTCTCCCCAAGCTGGACTCTCTGAGGACGGTCCTCCAAGAAGGATCGGAGCCAGGCAAGCGCCAGGCCACCGATTTCCAGCTTGGAGAGCCTCCCCAGGGGGATACTGGTGGTCAACCAGACCTCTTAGCCACAAGGCAAGAGAAGTGCGGAGTCCCAAATAAATACTGAGTTTTCTGGGAGTTGCTGTCCAAGGAATTTTAAGATTTCCTCGTTCTAGTTGTACAGATGATGTACATGCAGGGAGGACGTTGCTTTTCTAAATTGCACAGTTAAGGGTATTCGAACACACATCTCCCTCTTGCCCCGAACTTGGGAGCGTTCCGCTCCAGAGGGAGCTGTGCCACTTGATCGGGTCGAGTGCAGAAACCGGCCCTTGGTTTCCTCCTGGGCTGTTTTGCACGTCCGCCTCTCCACTGGTTCCCTCGCTGACTTCCTGAAGGAGGAATGCTCCTACAGTCATGGAGCAACCAGGGGCTTTTGGAGGAGGGCGCGTGAGGCCTCACCTAATTCCGTGTTTGAGCCAGCTCCTGTGCCCTGGACCAGACCGGAACTGGAGTGACTTTCCTTCCCTGAGGTTTGGCTGTTTTCTTTCCAGAGAGGATGCTGTCTGAAGTACGAAATAACAAGAAAAGCCTGGAAGGTAAAATTCCCCTGATGTCACAAACATTCCTCGGGATGGGAATGGCCGTCCCGTGCATCTCGGAAGGGCCTCCCGTTCGGGAAGATCGCCTTGAGAAAGCAATGCTGATTGTCTACCTCCCGACCTGTCCTCCTTTTCTCGAACAGACAGCTGTTTATCGTGTGGGAAGAGGGATCCGGTAACTTTCCACCCGCTCTTTGAAGGGGGCCTTTGCACAATTTGCCAGGTGAGGACGGAGTGCTGTGGAGATCTTTCTGTGGGCCAGAGGAAGGGCGAGGAGAGGTGGAGGCAGATCCAGTCCTTGGGTTGGCCAAATGAGCTGCTGTGGCCGAGAGCAAGTCGAAGTAATCCACGGTAAAAGAATAAAGAGCTGTGAAATCTGCAGGGTCACAGCTTCACTGGGAGCCAAATGTGTGTGTGAGACTTGCCTGTAGGAGAGGGGTGAGGGAACTTTCAGCCCACGGACCCAATTTAGACCACGAAGGGTTCAGCAGGCAGCCTGCCCATTCCTAAAAGCATCTTCAAACCCTAGGAGGAAAGCAGGTCCCTGGCTCAGCAGCCACGGGGAGCTGGTGCTGGTCCGTGTGTCCTGCCAGAGGTGGTGGGCTTGCCTCCGATTTGGCCCACAAGAGATCCAGGGTTGGGTTCAGGTTGGTTCAGATGGGCCCAGAGAGCCCACCAAGCAGCAGGAGGGGAAACCCGAGGAGGTCGTAACAACAATGAATGCCACCCAGACGTCTTGTTCTACCGCTGGCCTGAGCTGAACGGAGTCTTCTTATAGTAGGGCCCCCGGGCTCCTCCGTCCAGGCTCCACAGTCTTCTGAAAGGGACAGCTCCTCTCCTGAAGGCAGGCACCTCTCGTCACGATTCCAGGAGCCTCCCGCACTGGAGAGATTGGCGCATCTCAAGGTTGGACGAGATGTCTTCTCTGCTGGTCCTTCCACCCCAGAATCGGAGTCCAGGTCACTGCCGGACTCTCAGATGGCGACTCTTAATGGGGCTGAGATTTAACTCAAACACTCTGACCAATCCTCTCTTTGACCCTCTGGAACACACCACAAGCGGGGAAAGATTCCCAGTTGGCTTCTCCTTTAGCAACAGGGCACTGTTCCCCAGGTGGGGCCACGGGGCCGCTCTCCAAAATGATTTCATCACAAGCATAGCAGAATGTCTTCTCTTTCCCCTAGGATCGCTTCCTGGAACTTTTCTACATGTATGACGATGATGGCTACCAGACCTACTGCTCCATTTGCTGCGAGGGGAGTGAGCTGCTTCTTTGCGATAACGCCAGCTGTTTTAGGTAGGCAGGCCCTCCGGCCACGCGGGCAGGCAGGCACCCACCCACCCAGGGCTTTCTTTAGGGCGCCCCGCTCAGTTCTTAGCAGCTGGAGAGGCAAGTGTTTGGAAGATCTTCTGCCTGGGTTACACACCCAGTCACCGTACAATGGTAAATCGAGAAAGGAAGGTGCTCAACGGGATTATTCCTGAAGCCATCCATCTAGTAAAGAAAGCACAAAATGTATGCAGTTGGATGGGTCCCTACGAGGAGCATTAGTAAATCCCAGGCCTCTGAACCGCCCAGTGGGGAGACCAAAGCACAAAATACTTGGCATTTCATCTTAAAAGTGCTATAGTATTTTTTTGGCATTCCTTTCCCCCTCCTTTTCTTTCGAGGGCTTGCAACCATCTACGGTTTCTCGTAATTTTTTTTTCTTTTCCTCCCCTGTGATGATGGCAAAGGGAACGGGGAAGGTTGAGGGAGAGGTGTCATCACGGGGGGTTTGTGCGCCGTGGCGTGCACGCTCTTGCGAATCGGAAAGTCTCCAGTCTACCTCCCAGCCCTGTTGCCTGTTCTCTGCAGATGCTTTTGTGTGGATTGCTTGAATACCCTGGTGGGTCGCGGGGCGGCCGATGCCGCCCGGAAAGAGGAACCCTGGAGCTGTTACATGTGCCAGCCGCAAAAACGGTACGGCCTCCTCTTGCGCCGGCACGACTGGACCACTCGCCTGAAGGAATTCTTCACTAACGAGAAAGGGCAGGAGTATGTAAGTGAACTGGGGAGAAGCTCGGCCCCTGCCTCCGGCTCTGGGAGGAGAAGGAGACGGGTCTTGCAGGACACGGGGATGGATGGACTGATCTTTTCTCCATCCGCTCTCCCAAATCTTTGCTCTTGGTCCTTTGAAACCAGAATGGGCTGCTTCTGGGCGGTGGTGGAGGAGCTGCACCTGCAGAAGCAGCAATCTGAAAAGGAAGACTTCCCATCTTTAAAGCAACCCTAACCCTTGTTTCCCATCAGAAGTCCTGGATTCCCCATTTAAAACTAAGCAAGTGCCTGGTTTAGCCATCAAATCATGCCTTCTGGCATGCTTGGTTGAAGGGTGACGTTGCTGCAGGAATGATGGGATGGAATGGGGTTTGTGCAGAGAGCCCACCCCCGATTCAAAGAGATCCCCCCCTTCACCCAGGCTCACAGTAGATGCCCGGGGCTGCAGACCCTTTACCTCAATGGCTTCACCTCGGCTGCTGTGCTCTTCCCCGCCCCCACCTCCCTTGCAGGATGCTCCGAAAATCTATCCCGCCATCCCAGCGGCAAAGCGGAGGCCGATCCGGGTGCTTTCCCTCTTTGATGGCATCGCAACAGGTAAGATGCTTCCAGGGCTTGACGGAAGCTGCATATCTGCCTATTAGTAATCCGTGCATACATAGATATTCCCATGGGTTTGAGGGCCAGGCGCATGTACCAGTTGTGCACAGGGGTTGTGTGGCCACTCCGAGGTCAGCTGTGGCAGCGGGCCTGCCACAGGACCAGAAGCTCAAATCCCTACAATTTTTGGCTCCCCACTTCCTCGGGTGACGTTACCCACCCGTTCCCATCAGAGAGGTGATGAGCACAGTGGGTAAAGAACTTAAGGGCCATAAACTTCCTGACTAGCAGCCGTTGATGGCCCTACTGCCGTGAACGTATCCAGTGCCCTTCCAGATTGTTCAAGCTGGCAGCTGCCCATGTGTCCGGTGGCAGGGAGTTCCACAGTGCTTGCTCCCACCCACCCCTCCCTGGTGTGAAGTACCCTGTGTCCAGAATCTTCCCCCTGTTAAGCTGATTCACAATCACTTGTTGGATGTTTTTTTTTTTTTGGCCCGCACTGTGAAGATTTCTCTTGCACGGTGTGAGCTTAAGAATGGTGCTTCTTTAGAAAAAAAATTAAAACAATTGCAAAATGATAATCCTTGGGAAAAATGCTACTCTACCTTGCTAGGTCATGGTGTGAGGATGGACGGAATCGTGGCCATTACTGCTCAGGACAGCGCCTCTCCCCCCACAGTGGTGTTCGGCCTGTCTTTCCGCCAAGTTTGGCCACTTTCTGGATGGCCTGTCCTCTCCTCCTTTAAGGCCAGTCTGGTTCATTTGATACCGCCTCTACTGCCGCTGTGTCCATTTCCTTATCTGTTGCACCTCCCGCCGTTCCCAGCTTCCCTTGTGACGCTCATGGCTTTTTTGTTTTTTTTGTCCCCCATCACCGCCCGACACCCACACATGATTTGTTTCCATTGTTGCATTTCATCAAGTGACCTTGTGTGTGTGTGTGTGTGTGAGAGAGAGAGAGAGAGGGAAGGAGGGAGAAAGAGCGCATGGGCATCTTGACTGCATGACTGAATTGACTGACCATCCTGCACTCCCAAGTGATGCTCGGAGCACCCACACATATGTTGCAGCTCCTATTGGGGGGTGCTTTGGGTTGTTTTTGCTTCGGTTTGGGTTTTGGTGAAGGAATATGAACGCTGTATGTTTGGCATGTGGGGCAGGGACAGTGTGGGATGGATAAGAAGGTGTCACGGTGCTTGACGGGGGGGGCATCTAAATTGGCCACCTGGCAGTTTTCTTACTGGAGGTGCTTCTGCACCAATAGGGTACCTGGTTCTGCGGGATCTAGGCATCAAAGTGGAAAAATACATCGCTTCTGAGATCTGCGAAGACTCCATGGCTGTGGGAACAGTGCGGCACGAAGGGAACATTAAATATGTGCATGACGTCAGGAACATCACCAAAAGAAATGTAAGGATGGACCACACGGGCTTGATTAGATTTCTTGACACACACTCTCGGGAGTTAGCTGGTTGTGTTGGGAACACAAGGCTGCCTATTGGGCATAGAGACAGCTCCAGCATTTGGGGAGCTGTGCAGTGAGGTGTCTTACCCTCGGGGGGACATTCTTCGCCTTGAAGAGCCGAGGGGTCTCCTACGTTGCCTCTGACCCCATTTACTGCTTCCGACAAAGTGGGAGGAGAGGGGCCATCAGGAATGTGAAGGTCTTCTCTTCGGATGCCTGAGCTTGCTTCCCCCTCATGGGGAGCCCCACAACCGTGTCCCCCCCAAGCGGTAGAGGTTTCCTGTGGGTCGGTCAAGAGAGAGAAAGGGATGTAATGGAGAAGGGCAGTCAGTAGTCAATGGAGGAGAGGGCCAGAACAAGCAGGAAGGGGCAGACATGGTGATTGAAAAAGGCACCTTGTGGCCCCGTGTGAGCCATGGAGTGGTATGGATTTCTTAAATGTTATTAGTCAGAAGATCCAAAGGCTGGAGCCTCACCTTGTCTGTAGGGCTCAAAGTGGACCAGGAGATTCTCCTGGGAGCTGGCCGGGGCCTCGGAAGCCACACTCGTGGAACTTAAGAAGTTTTCTGTGGCCCAAGGTGATCTTCCCTTTGGCCAACCAGTTGATCCAGAAGGTCCGCCATCAAGGCGTGTCTTGTGTTCTGCAGCAACAAAGGCACACACTTTTGCTGGAGGTCATAGATCACCAATCTGGCTGGTGGCCCTAATTTATCTCATCCCCTTAAAAAATCGTCAATAATCAGACTTGCTTGAGGTCATTCATTCAGCGTGGCTATGTTCCGTCAACTTGCCTTCAACTTATGGTGACCCTCCTAGAGTCTTCGAGGTATGAGAGATATTCAAGGAGCGGCTCACCATTACCACCACCCCCTCCAGTGACTTTCCATGGTGGGGCAGGGATTTGAACCCAGGTCTCCTCTGAGTCCTAGTCTGACACACTCTCCACCACAGGATCCTCCTGCCTTTCCATTCATTCCTTGGGTTGCCATAAAGAAAGATGCAACTTGATGCGCATGACTTAACAGTTTTTCAATGCATCTCTGCTGGCAGCCGCCTATACACCTTGTGGCCGCAAAGGCCACAGTTTAGGAGTAAACCTTGCAAACTTCCTCAGCAGCCTTTCTGGCTAGTCAGCTGGCCTAGGTTGTTGCCTCTGGACCAGAAGACAACCTGCCATCGTCCTGTGGGAGCCAGCATCTCAGAGGCTGTCTGGTGGGCTACAGGCACCCTTCCAGGGATGGAAGATGGGCATTCAGATCTGCTCTGTCAAGTACTTGAGGTGGAAGACCTGGACTTTAGAACATGTCCCACGGAGGATGGTGTTGCTTTGCCCTGGAGTGTCCCAAGCCCTTCTACCTTGATGTTTGTTCTAGATCGATGACTGGGGCCCTTTCGATTTGGTGATTGGTGGGAGTCCTTGCAACGACCTCTCCATCGTGAATCCAGCCAGGAAGGGGTTGTACGGTGAGTAACCCTGAAAGCAGTGGCTCTCTCTCTCTCTCTCTGGCCGTTTGCTGGGAGGTGGGAGAGCTGTCTTGTCTTCCTCTCTTTTTCTTTTTGGGTTCTTTCCGTCCAGTTTTGGTATCCGTTGTTTTCTCTTCCACAGAAGGGACCGGACGCCTTTTCTTTGAGTTCTACCACCTGCTGAATTATACGCGCCCAAAAGCCGGAGAAGACCGCCCGTTTTTCTGGTTATTTGAGAATGTCGTGGCCATGCGAGTCAATGACAAGAGGGACATCTCTCGGTTTTTGGAGGTAAAAAAAGAACCTTAGTTGATGGCTTCCTCTCCTGTGGCGAGTGACCTTAATTTCTTGGGAATATGAGTTGGATTCACTCCCTAAAAGCTTCAGTTTGTGAGAGCTGAGTAGGGCTGTTGAGGACCGGACATTTTGGAAATCCCTTTTTCATTGGGCTGCCATATGTTGGAGGCATCTTGATGGCACGTGACAACTACACAACGGCATTGGGGAACGGGGAACATTGGAAACGGTAGAGTTTTGATAGGAGATGGGGCCGAGGCATCGGTCAGAACGACCAGTCCAAGTACACCTTGGGTGAGCGAGACGGTTCATTCATTTCTAGCCTGCCCTCTCTCAACAAATCTCAAAAGTGTGATGCCATCAGTAATAAAAATTTAAAATTTTGGATTTTTTTTAAAAAAAGAATTCAAATCTTTTACAATGGTAAAACAACGTAAACCTTCAGAAACATAAAATCAGCAATCTGAAGGACTGGAAACCAATGCATACCAAGCCTTATGATGTCAATGCTCAGAAGCCCTGCCCAAAGTAGGATCATGTTGGCTTTTGCCAGGTTTTCAAAGGGACATTCCCCTTCTAGAACTTTGGTACTCCTGCCATTTCATCACGTACTCCCATGGGGAGGGACCCTGATGATGGCGTTCCCAGCAGAACTGGGCCATTGGTTAGCTACATTTGGAAGATTCTGTAATCTACATAGGTTCATGAATTGCTGTAAAATTCAAAAAAATTGATCTCTGCATTAAGTCATACATCCTTGAAGGCAAAGGAAGGAAGGAAGGGAGGGAGGGAGGAAGGAAGGAAGGAAGGAAGGAAGGAAGGAATTTCTCTGGGTGTGCGTGACCTATTTGCAGGCTGCTTTATGTTGAGTACTGTTTTATTTTAATGATGTAAAAGGTGCTGAAACTTTGTCCACTGGAGACAGAGGACTCGTGGCTCTTCAGATGTGGCTTGACTCCAGCTCCTATCAGCCCCAGGCAGCATGGGCAATAGCCAGTGGTGATAAGCCGCGTAGTCTTGCCACGGCATGCCTGGGTTCCAGAGACCACAGACCCACTGGGATCCTTTCCTGCGGCTTCTTCTTAACTCTCTTGTCTTCCTTTTTTTTTGCCCAGTGTAACCCAGTGATGATTGATGCTGTGAAGGTCTCGGCGGCACACCGAGCGCGATATTTCTGGGGGAACCTCCCAGGGATGAACAGGTAATTTGGGAAGCCCTCTCTTCCAGCTCTGTGTCTCTTTCAGGGGGGGGAATGGAGCAGGCATAGGCAAGGGACCTGAGAAAGAGGTTGCAGGCGTTGCAATGCCAGCGGTGTAAAAGCGCAGCTGCGAAGGGGAATCACTGCCTTTCGCCAGGATAAAAGAGCCCCTCCTCTTTTATCCTACGGGCAAAGTGCTTGACATTCCTCTGCAAGAATGACTTTCAATGCGCCAGGAATGCTCTTGATGTAGCTGGCGAGCTTGGGTAGGCAAGCTGCCCCCTTTTCGCTCTAAGGCGGCTGCGCTTGACATCAGGAAATGTAGGCCAGGAGTTTAGTTTCGAACCCTTCGTGCCTGTTCTTTATACAGATACAAAACGAGGGGTGCAATTCTGTTCAGGTCTCCTGCGAAGTGAACTCCCTTGAGTCCGGAGGGACAGATGCGCTGGTCACTGGGCAGAGTTTTATGACCAAAGTTGCATTGGCTGATGTTTTAAGCATTGCAGCAGCTTCCTAGGAAAAACAGCCAGGAGTCAAGCTGAAAAAAAAATTCCCTTGCCAATTGCCGCCGGGTCCTGTTTCTCTGAGGAAACAGGAACTGGGCTGGAAAGAAGAGTTTGAATATGAAGGGCGTGTGATTCACAAGTCAGCCATTTCTAAGTCAACGAAATAGGAGAGCTTTGGAAAAGTAAACTCAGGGGGAGAACAACGCCGGATTCCCCCCCCAGGCCAGCAGGACTGAGAGGGATTGGGGTCGTTGCAATCCACCAGAGCCTCTTTTTAAAGGAGAAAGGCAGGGCACAACTATTTTAAATAAAAAAACTTTCCCAGGCTCTCAGAAAGAGGGGTCCCCGGCTGTTTGCTTGGCTGCGGAGAGGTTCCTGAAAGTCTTTCCCGGGCAGCTCTCTCTCCCTCAGCCTCTTAGAGCGTGTCCTGCAAAATAATAAATGCCGTCCACGGGTTGAGGGGACAGGAGGAGCGGTTATGAGAGACTAATGCATTTCGACTGCTCTTAGGCCTCTGGTGGCTTCGAAGAACGATAAACTTGAACTGCAGGATTGCCTGGAATACAGCCGGACAGCAAAGGTAGGGTTTGGACCCCCAAAGTTTGCAAACCCAGTTCTCTCTCCCCCCTCCCAGAATTGTTCTTTAAAATAATCTGTGGGGGGGGAGGAGGCTGCAGGATACCTCCAGGGTCTCAGTTGCAACACAGCCTGAAGATTATGTGATTAAAGTGGGCTTCGGGAACCCATCTCTCTTCCCCCCCCCCCCCCAGCCCTTCTCTTCCAGTTGCCTGCTTCACCTCTTCTTCTCTAACCTCTCCTCCCTGTTTGGATCTCTGTCTTTGTTTGTCTTTCCTGCCTCACCCCCCCTCTCCCCGCGGTCCATCCTGTCTTTCTTTGGGGCGAAATGAAATGTCAGAACCGTCTCACGCTTCCCAGGAGCAAAATAGGTTAAATATTCCATCAATGGGAAGGTTGCAAAATGGAGCCTTACAGGAGGCAGCATTATTCCCTCTTGAGGAAGAAAGGCTGGGGCAGAATGTTTGGGGGGGGGAGAGAAGGAGGAGGAGGAGGGATGGCAAACCCCTCTTCCACATGCCAGCGCCTTCGGACATGATCTTGCAAGGACTGATCGTTTCCTGGAAGGATGCTGGCTGGGTATTTTTAGATTTTGGGACGCCTTCTGTGGGCTGCTGGAAGGGATTGGGCTCTCCCTCCCTCTCCCTTCCCTTGCCTGCAGAGAAGGATGCCTCGATGGATGGGAAGCTTAACACACACCCACAGAAAACAAACCTGTCTCCTCTTTAGCATTGCAGTGCACCCCATTGCTTGCCAACTCCAGCCCAGTCTTTTTCTGGAGTCAGTGCCATGAAAGCTCCTCCGAGAAGCCTGTGGCACAAACTCACCTTATTCTCTTTTTTCCCCCTCCTCTCCCCTTTTCTTTTTAAGTTGAAAAAGGTCCAGACTATAACCACAAAGTCCAACTCCATCCGGCAGGGCAAAGCCCAGACTCTGCCAGTGCGCATGAACGGGAAGGATGATGATTTGTGGTGCACTGAACTGGAAAGGTGAGAGGCAGGGTCGGGCGATGGAGAAGGTTCCGGGAGGATAATGCTGGGATGGAGAGCGAGGGGGGAGGGGCTGGGAATGCCCTTTGCTCAGGACTTCTGCTAGCTGGAACTGAAGACCAGTGCTTTGTACCTCTTGCCAAAAAAATTGCAAGCGATTCTTTTTCCAAACCTTGGGTGCATGTTCTTTCTTTCATTTCATTTATTTAAAATACATTTGCCCCACCTTCCTCCTTAAGAAGGACCCAAGGCAGCTCGCATCATTAAAAGATAACACCAAGGACCCAAGGCGGCTCGCATCATTAAAAGATAACAGGAATAGCTAAAAAACAATAACCGGGCAAACAGGAAAAAGAGCAAACAAATAGCACACTAAAAAAAAAGAGTAAATAAAAGCAACACCAGAAATACATTTAAAAGCAAGAAGGCACAACCAATCCATTAAAAAAAACCCACGCAGGCAGCGAGGCGCTCAGGGAAAGCCTGCCTGAAGAGAAAGGTCTTCACCTGCTTGCGGAAGGAGAGTCAAGAGGGGGCCAGGCTGGCCTGCAGTGGCAGGGAGTTCCAAAGGCTGGGAGCAGCGACACAGAAGGCCCTCTCCTGTGTGGCCACCCATTTATTAATATTTTAATTTAAATTTAATTTATTTATTAAATTAAAAAAAAATTATACCCTGCCCATCTAAACAGAAGTCTACCACCAAGTGCACCTGTGAGGGTGGCGGGACTGAGAGAAAGGCCTCTCCTGATGGTAACACCTGGGCAGGATCATAAAATCCCTGAGATAGCTAGAATCCAAGCCTTTTGTGACTTTATTGGTTGGAGCCAGCACTTTGACTTGTTAAATA